CCAGGAAAAAAAATAGAAATCCCCCTCTGGCTTCCACCACTACAGGAGACTTTACACTTGCAGAGAGATGACCCCTAAGCTCCCACCAGGATAAAAGTAGCCAGAATGATACCGCTCAACTCAGATGACCAGGCGGTGTATCCCAGAAAAAATTTTTCTTATGGATGAGCCTTTCGTAAAACCAGAAGTTTCATGCCACTGACTCCAGACTCCAGAGAAGACAGCCTCGACAGAGTGAAGAAGGAAAAGTTTCAGAGGGAGTGATAAGGAACACCAGGGTTCATTTGATTCTTAGAAAAGGTCCCTCTCTTTAGTGTCTTGAGGGGCCTAAGGAAGGCGGTAGAAAGGGGACTTTTTTTTTTTCAGTTTTGCTTTCCCGACTCTCCCCAAATCCCCAGGCCTTGTCAGCAGAGACCCATCTCTCGATAATTACAGAATACACAGCTTTGGGGGCATTTCACTTCTATTCACGACATTTACTGGTGTCAGTCTGAGCATAAATACAATTAGATTTGAGAGTTCTATTACAAAAGCCAATAAAGCGGGCCTCAGTAGAGATTCTAAAATTACTTAACTTTTCTTTAGAAAAATATTAAAACAGTATTATCACATCAATGAGAAGAAAAGACAGGAAGATAATAAAGTTATGTTAAACCTCCCTGTATTTACTCATGTGTGAAACAGTTATGTCTGGTCACATAATTGCAATGGTTCTGAGAAATATTTCATATTTTATAATGAACATTAAAAGAGTTTGTGGATCATTACTTTATATGAGTTCCAAAGTTATTACATAAAACCCAATAGGAATGGTTATAAATTATCGGATCCTCCGGCCTGGCCTTGGTAAACATAACGTGAAGACTGAGACATTTCAGCAGACAAGATTCATGAGAGGAGGTAAAATCCGCTCTCCACCCCACCACCACCCTCTGCATTTTAAGGGGAATGGAGGACCAGGGTACTTATAACCACGCTCTTAACATTTTTGTTTCTGTTTCAAAGAAATCCTATTGAGCCACTAGCTTAAGCCACACACAAAAAAAGCTTCCATTAGAACAAAAGAGAACTGGCTTTCAGACACTGCGCCCATCTTCCTATCTTTCATCATCCTATCTCTGGCCTTAAGGTCATTGCAAAATTCTTGAACTTTTCAACACAGCATGGGTTTAGAATACTGTACTTAGCAGAGGCTCATCTGATCGCTGACAATTACTTATTTTCAAAAGCAGATCCTGTCTTTGAAATCTGAAAATGCAGCATCTTTGCAGAAACTGGAGAATTGATAACATTCTCAAGAATTTTTCTTGTGGGGTCTGCAAAATAGGGTGGAAGAAGGCAGCACTTCCATTGAAAAAAAAAAAACAATCGTCTGAGAATCGCATTTAAGAGGAGAACGGGTGTTCCTCTCTTATTTATGCTTACTCTCTTTTTGCTAACCACCGTTTTATATTTGATTTTTGAAAAAATCACACCTGGAGATTCCTTTGGACCCCCAGTTTCTGCTTAGTGGGAGAGTGAAATACCAGAAGAGTAGCAGCCAGGATATAAAGATGAGAACCAGAACAGGGAAGTTTAGATCCTCTGGTCAGTATCTAAGAAGTGTAGCATCAGACTGGCCCCTTTACAGATGCTGCAAACTGGGGAGAACTCTCCAAGGAAGCACAGAAGGCAACATTTGCTTCCTGGCTCTAAGTAAAACAGGCATCTCCCTCACCTACGTCAAAGCAATGCATCTCTCTCTACCTGTGGAATGCAAGTGGTCATTGGCTTCCCCCAAACCCTGTGCCTGACACCTGGGAGGCTCCTGTACCTGCAGGATTCCTACCTTACCCTGGGCTACTCCCGCCCCCCTCATGATTTGGAGCAGCTGTTAGTGCGGATCTCTCAGCAAACAGATGTCTTTTGGAGAATTTAAAGCTCTGAGTTGGAGGCCAGCTTCTGACTGTACTTTGAATTATGTCTGCCTTGATCATTATGCAGTCATTCACATATATTTTCGACATCAATATTGTCTGGAAATATTCTCCAGTTCTCAATGCTATTTATATGCTTCGATTCTCCTCTTTGCTTCTGTTCTGACGGTATGCTCCAGCTTCCCAGAGCCACCGACTGCTTGCAGATCATCTTAATAAATATTTTTATTGGAGAAGGGTTTGCCATTTCCTTCTAAAAGCTTTTCTCTCTGAATTTAAACTAAACCCAAACATTCTCGAGACCTCTACCAAGGCTCCTAACCTGTTTGGAGGAAGAATTTACCAGTTTCAGTATGTTTAAAGATGAAACAATGTCACATGCTGCATCTTCCCACAGAGAGCAAGTTTGACCAACAACAAAAGATTATGAAAATGCCAACTTACAGCGTGGGAGAGAAAAAAAAAATCTCTTCTTGTTTGTTTCAGAAATGCTAGTTCGGCTAAAATCCGAGTATTTGACATAATGTAAATCTGAAGGTGGTTTATTAAAAAAAAAAAACTCAAAAAGTGTGAAGGGGAAAGAACCAGATATTTTTCAGGACTTAGTAACATGAAGAAAGTAGAAATCTTTGGGGTGTTATAGGACATTTAAAAATAGGCCAAGTTTACAAAGCCCTTTGTGGGACCCTCAGAAGCTTACAGAAAAACCACACAAGCCAGCTAGATTCAATGCCTGTGTTCTTACTTTCCAATGGGGTCAGGGCTCGGATAGGCTCACACTCATCTTCAGATCACCATGTCCTTGTTTAGAGAGCATCCTTTTCAAGTATCTTCATAGTGGCCTCTAGGTGGCGCTAACACTGCATAGCTTCAGCTTTTGGGCACAATGAAAACATTAATTTGCTATGAGATAATTTTTGACGTAAATGTAAAATGGTGCCCATTCGAACTCAGTAATGAAGCATGGTGCATTTCTGCAGCTCCTAATTTGACTAGTTAAATGACTCCATTACGTGTCTAACAGACAGAAGCAAATAATTTCTGGTCAGTTGATGTTCACTTATCCGTATCATTTTGCCCTGAAAATAAAGTCTCTAATCTACAATTCCTTTGTCTTAGGGTTTTTTTTTTTTTGGTTAAGATTATTAAAGCAAATATATTTAAATAATTCAGATTAAACCAGCACAAACTAACAATTAAAACGTCAGAGAGCACAGGCAAATCAAATACGTGTAATAGAGGAGGCAGAAAACTGGAAACCCCTCCTGTATTACTCCAACCTTTGCCCCTATCACTAGGTCTGGGAGTTAGGCTTAGTCTTGGGCTTCAAAAAAACAAGTGTTCCTCCTCCAAGTTCATTGTTTTTTGGATGGTCTAAAAGGGACTGCTAGCCATTTGGTCCTTCTTTTCACTTTACCACATAACTTTAAGGATGTTTGGAAATTTTTCAGCAGGATGCGTCTCACTATAGCAAAAAAAAAAAAAATGTTGCTTTAATAAATATCAAGTGATGAATAATTTTGCCCAAAGGGGAAAAAATGGTTAATATTGAATCTTAATGTTCCTCATCTAAATGCTTTTTTCTTCCTGCTAAAAACAAGTTTAGAATTAAAGCGTATCAGTTTACACATATTGCATGCATATTAGTGAGACACAGCTGTGTATGTCCCCCTCTTAAGAGCCATATGATTAAGTTATGGGATATCATATAATCCAAACTCCGTTTCTATTGGTCACCTTTCACAGACAAAAGCTTTTTAGTTTTAGGTCTATTAAATGACAGAACGTCCGATTCTGTAAATGTGCAAGTAATTATTATGAAGCACCTGTGACTCTTATTTTTGCTTACAAAATCCATCTATAAATTGCTTTTGGAGTGGCACTGGGAGTGGACAGTGGACTCCACTCCCCGTCTGGGGCAGCTGTCAGTTGCTCAGTGAGATGGATCAAGATCCTGGGCCCAGGTATCAGGATCTTGGTGAACTATGGAATTACAAGCTCGAACCATTTCATTCTATAGCCATGAAGTGAAGAGACAGTTGCCTCTTTTGGTAAAGAAACAGAGAGTGGAGAAGAAACCCTCAAAACTCAGAGGGACTCTATGCTTATCCACTTTTCATTGGTGTGTCTGGGTAGACTGTCCGCTAGGACTGCACTGAGCAATCTGTTTTTAAAAGACAACATGAGAACAGAAAGAACCAGTTTAAACGATGTTCATTTTTCCCCAATGTAACATGCTATTTGACCCAATTAAATGCACTTAAAAAAAAAAAAAAAACTGACTCAAGTGTGTGTATACACTGCCTTTATTAAGCTTTCAAATTTTCAAATCCCTCTGTGTGTGCAAATTTCAGCCATTTCCAGGTTGGGGAAGAGGGATGAGGGACCCAGAACACAGACTGTGTGCCTTTTGATGTGAAACAAAGTCAAAAGGAACTATTCATGACTCATACTTTGTTGAAATTTTTGGCTGATGTCGTTTCTGCAACTTGATTGGGGTAAGTTGCCTTCCCGGGGAAGGGCAGTGGCTTGCCCTTAGAGGGGTGGGACCTCACCACCTCCACTGTCCCTGCAGAATGGATACTGATAGCCGTCAGTTGCAGGAGTTATGTAGGTCGAGCGGCCTGTGGGTTTCCAGGAAGGATTTGGCTTTTTGATTTGGTGTAGAATTCACAACCGGCGAGTGATGTTTCAGCACACAGATCTATCTGGGTTGTGTTCCGGAAAAGGAAATGAGGTCACGCTGGAAAGCAGCAGTGCATCCAAGAAGGGTTCCATGGGGACCTTGAGTCAGGGGCTCAAAACCTTCCCCTGGGGCCCGCCCCCCTGACAAGGGCACCTGTTGCTCTAAGCATCTGATCGCTGGGCACCTTCCACGGGTGCAGCTCTTTAGATGCGTCCTGGGAAGACAGGCTGGAAAGGAAAGAAATTCCACTGGAGGATGAGCCCAGGATACTGCCTGAAGGTGAGGGAGCCCCAGGAGAGCAGAAATACATCCATCAGGCAGGCAGGGAAATCAGACACGCTGTGTAAAGGAAAGCAAAGAGGAACTTCCAGGCTGCGGCTAACTTCAGATGAGAGACTTCCAGAATGACACGTGGGAAACTTTACGACTCCCCCAAACCCGAAGTGGGAGCTGGGTTCTCCTCCTACTGGCCGATGGGGAGGCCTCTGGTCTTCAGCACCCCCTGGATCAGCTGAGGCATTGAAAGTATTAGAACCTCCCCAGGCTCAGCACTCCCAGCCCTGAGCTGAGAGTTGGTGATGCTACCAGCCCTTGGGGAAGGAAATGCTGGCTTCTGAATTGGGGGCTCAGCAAGGTGATGCTGCCTTTTACAAATACTTTTTCTTAAAATGCCAGACGGCGGAGAGCCGAGTTTGTGGGAATAAGGGGGTGATGGCTGCTAAATAAATGTGAAAAATAAATTATTTGTCTTCCTGTCCATAAAGGGAAGACGAGAGAGCAGATGCCAGCCGCAGACAAGCATTTCCCGAAGAGAGGAAAATATTTCCGAAGGAAATCGGCATCATAGCAGAGCAGGTGAGAAAGAAATTAGAGTATCTAAGGACTGATAACTCCGGGAGCAGATGGGAACCATCTTAGACTATGTGCAAGGGAAGGCAAGGAAACGGGGGAACGATTAGCAAATACCTTTTAAAAATATCCTGGGAAACTGGAGAAGCTCCGGTGGACGAGAGCCCTTATGCAACACCTATATTTAATAACGACTCTGAGGGAGATCAAGGAAATTAAACACCAGTAAGCTTGACTTGAGCAGTGGGGAAGATATTGGAAACACTAATCAGGGACAAAATAGGGAAAGTTATGATTTAATTAAAGATATTCAGCATGGATTCACAAAAGGGAGATCATACGTAACAAAACTAATAGAATATTTTGAAAAAGTAACAAAAAGGAATTGAAGAGGGAAACCAGGGGTATAATTTACTGGGACTTTAAAAAAGCTTTTGATGCACTGCCTCACAAAAGACTAATCTCCAGCAGTGGGGAGTTTGGGTGTGAGTGTGGTGGGGGGTGGAGAATGAATGAAGAATTGTCTGGACTGAGGGTACTTGTGAGCATTACCATGAAGAGATTAGGATAAAGGGAGGAGACTGACTGCTGGAATTTCCCGAGATCTGAATTTTTTTTTTTAATTAATTTTTTTTTTTTTTTTAAACATAGTGCCTCCACAGCGTTGCTTCGGAAATGTGCCCAAATGTGGTGACATTTTCTTGCAGGCGTAATTTTGGAAGGCAGGTGTCAGTTAACACCACATGGACAACAGCGTCGGGAAGAATTGTTTTGCAATTTGATGAATATATGACTGTTCTTTAAATATGATGAGGCGATTTGTGACTAAGTGTGTGTGTGTGGGGGGGCGGTGCTGAGCTACTAATTGCCACATGAATAATTAACGCAAATAAAGACGGAGAATATGGCTGTAAGGAGCAAAACTCCACAATCTGGGCAGCTCAAGTTCAACAGCAGTGCACACACTGTTGGGTAAAGTCACACATTTACATGCACACGGGGACAGCTTCACACACAGCATGCATATACCCACATGCACACATTCACGTATTATATGGGGACACTCACAGGCCCACCCTGATGCTTCCCAAAGATGTGCGCTTTTGTGCACCTCATGGCCACGTGCACACCTTCATGAACACGCTCACCGTCCACATTCATGCTATAGACTTGTGTAAACACATCGTCAGGAACCAGCATACACGGGGTTCTTGTCTCTTTCCCTAGAAATCACTCTGCAAATGCATAGGTGGACACAAATAGCCCCACAGGATAGGAGAACATGCTGTTCTCCACCAGGAAATATTGGGAAGCACATTGCAGGAGGGGAAGGTCCCTTTAGTCACATTACTGTAATAATAGATGCCACGGGAATGAAAGAAGACGCAGAGGGCAGAGGATCCACAGGACACAAAAAGATCTTTGTTAGTACAAGCCAGACCAGATCTGAATACCTTCTCTGAAAAAAAAAATAATAATAATGGCAGGACTCTCCAAAGGGGCCCAATGCCCAGATGGGGACAGAGCTGCAGATGCGGTAGCAGGAGCCTGAGGAAGATGATGATGACCAGGTCTGGACCTGCTGTCCGCAGGGCTCCACCCCAAAGCCGGAGCACAGGCAGAGAACTAGAGAACTCTCCCCTAACTCCGATTTGGTGTTCAGCAAACAAATGACTCTTCATTCTTAGGAACATACGAATGATGTTTGGGTCAGAGTATGGCCAATGGCACCAGAACACGGGTGTATTTATGGGACACCCCAGACTGCAGCGTGATTATCGTCATCTAAGCTAGTGGCAGCCTCCCACAGACAACTCCCATCCATCGTGGGGGTCGGTGCTAATGTCTCCTTGCTGCTTACAGAGGTTTGGCAAGCCTACGGAGAAGATACGGGTACAGACGACACAGATTCTAACATGTGAGTATTAGAGCAACTTGAACTTCATTTACCTTTGACATTATTCATTAATATTAAAATGTGACTTGGACAGTATCCATATTTAAAAGGTCACTTAGGATGAAGTCTACATGTCCTCCCCATTAATAATCACAGGAATATCGCCCCCGTGGTCACCTCCCCCATTGCAGAAGGAGGCAATGCCTTCGTTCCTAAATCAAATATTTTTAAAAGGAAATGTCCACTACAACCTCCTTCTGTTTCTATAGTTCCAACTCTGGAGATGTACATCTCTTAAATGCAACAGTGACAAAGTAATATTCAGAGACTACAAAAAGTGAAGGACAAAAGGAAACTTTTAATAAAGAAAAAAGAGGAGGTACCAGCAGATTTGACTGCACCCAGCCCTGTGGCTGCAGCCAAGTCCCTCTTCCAACATCTCCCAGAGACATGGTAAGTGGACGAGTACTTCTCTTATAGGTGAAGTTCAAATGCAGGACTCACTGGGGACCTGTGGCTTCAATGACATTTGACACGCTCATTTCTGAATCTCTCAACAGTATGGGGATGAGTTTTATAACACTCTTTATTTAAAAAAAAAAAAGACATGAAAGAGACAACAGCCCTCTTTCCCTGATGCCCCCCCCCACCCACAAAAACCAACCAAACCAAAGCAGCAAAACAGAATCCTGCTTTCAATATGATCCATTCTATGGATCACTTCCCCAAAATTTCTCATTCGAATAAAATTTAAGGATCTCTACTTTGTCTTTTTCTTTTTTCTACCAGGGATTGGAGCCCAGAGGCTCTCTTAAGCACTGAGACTTTTTATTTTTATTTTTTAATTTTGAGAGAGGTTCTCACTAAGTTGTCTTGGGCCTTGCTAAGTGGCTAAGGCTGGCCTCCATCTTATGGTACTCCTGCCTCAGCCTCTGGAGTGGCTGGGATTACTACAGTTGTGCACCACCATGCTGGGCCTACTTTGTCTTTCAAAGCAAGGAAAATCTTTTCCGATATCCAGAATCAACCCAGGCAGTATCCAGCAAAGGGAGCAAAGGGTTAAAAAAGGGGGACGTTAAAGCCTTCCTCGGTCCTCTCCATTGTTCATTCAAAGCAACTCTAAATAAACATACAAGGGAGACCTCACCTCCCACCTCAAACACCCCCAGCACCCCCACGGCATTGCTGTTGCTGAGAATGCCCAGAGTAGAACAAGGCAGACAAAGTGTTAAAAAGTACCTGTCAGGAATGTCTCTTGAAATCAGTCTTTGAGAATCATCTGTCAGCAAGACAAAATTGATTACTACATGTAAAATGAAGAGAGCAATGTAAATTAAACACTGTATAAATGGTAGAAAAGTTTAGGACAACTCGATTGTTAAATAATCACTGATACACGTATGAATTCTCAACAAAAGCCCCCGTAGGGAGGCGACTCCACGGGATTCCCTCCCAATCTTCTCAGAGTCAAGTCTGGGTTTCGGAGTGTTCCTCCCACCTTCCCCTGCGACAGAGTTAGGAGATTCGAGCCATCCCCCAGCAACTACAGAGTAACTTGCAAAGTTCAGTGACATTTTAGCACGGTTGTCAGCGTTCCCAAGCTGGGATGGAAGACACAATCTCTGATGAAAGGTTAGATTCGTGAACTGAGCAGAAGGAAAAGCATCTCCTGCCACGGGATCCCCAAGAACTTAGAAGATTATGCCACCTGATGAAAATATTGCATTAATGGAGGTGAAGCTGGCTTTGCTTATAAAGTCAAATCAGTCTTTACAAATACTTGAAACACACACGGTCATCATTTAACAGGTGCATTTCACACTCTGTTGAGTTTCCAAGGGCCACCTCCATGACTTCTTGGGGTGGATTATAAAAGGGATAAAGAGAAAAACCAACACTGAGGCTACTGCAGGTTGCACCCTTAGACATGGCCCTCAGGGAGCTGGGCTGTGACCCTCCAGGCCAGCATCTTAGACTCGAGTTCTTGGGACAAAGGGACCCAAGCCTGCTGATCCTTGATCCGCCGTGTAAGAACTCAGAGAAGGTTCTGGATGTGGCTCTCATCTCACCCTGTGTCAGAGCCCTGGGCACCACCTCCTCGGACCCTCCCGGGACACTCTGTGTCTCTCTCCTCTCTCCGTGGGATCTCGTCTTTTGCTGGAATGGAAGAAGTGCCTGCAGGCACCTCTGACCATCAAAGTTTCCTTCTGAAACTTCAGACTTCTCTCCTAGTGAGAGCCCAGGGCGTTCTCTCACGCCTTGAGTTCTCTCTAGTCTCCCCGACGGTCTACCTGCTAACCAGCCAACCCATTTCATTTTCCTCTGAAGCCTATGGGGACATTTCCTCCTTAGTTGTTCTGGTCCCTGCAGTGACCCCTTCCGTTGGGCTCCACCAGGAAGATAAATGCCATCCATCAGCCTTCAACCAGAGGTCGAGGACAGGCTGTCCACCCTCCAAGGAGAACTAACTAGAAGAGCTTTCTCCCACGGAGACCTCCAGACTCCCTGGCTGAAATGGACTGCAAGTGTCCTCCAAGTGTACTTTGCAAAAAAAAAAAAAAAACCGATATACAAACATAAAAATTTCACAATATACAATTTGTAAAATTAAGGAGCTGAAGATTACTTCGGAAAGGAAGATTTGCAATGCAAACGAACTTTCTGATTTATAGAGTCACCACGGGGGTTCCTTACATGAGTCAATCTAAAATAGACTTCAGCTCGCAGTGCATCTAAAAGAGGATTCGGTTGCCAAAATTCAATAAGGCACACCGTATCCGCCACAGTATCCCTACCAATACAACCACTGCAAAGAGCGAGGGGTGCCGGAAAACTCTGTTTCACTTCTTTCTCAAGATGTTTTTCGGCACAGGCGGTATCAGATTCGTTATCCTTTGGTCTGTAATGGCTTTTGGTATTCGGGGTCCCTTTTCCATTTACCACTGTGATGGTTTAAATGTGAGGTGTCCCCCAAAAGCTCATGTGTGAGACAATGCAAGAAGGTTCAGAGGAGAAATGATTGAGTTGTAGGAGTCTTGATCCAATCAGTGATTTAATCCCCTGGTAGGGATTAACTGAGGGGTAACTGAAGTGGTAGGTGTACCTGGAGGAGGTGGGAATTCAGGTGTGGCTTTGGGTATACATTTGTATCTGGTCAGATCCTTCGGTCCCAGCAGGGAAAAAGCTGACTAAAACAACCACTCACCCTTCACACACCTTCCTAGACTTGTCTCACGCAACAGAGAGCCTCGCAACCTTTAGGCAAAGGCTGGGTCTCAGTAGGGGGAAGTTGGCCAATTTCTGCCTGGCGTCCTATCTGAGATGTGGTGGGAAGTGACTTGCCATTGGAGGGGTTAATTCGAGGCTTCAAATTTCAGCTAAAGAGCCTATAAATATCCCATTATTTTGTTGTAGCAATTCCAGCTTTGCTAATCTGCCTTGGAGAAAAACTCAAGGATGCAGAGGGAGGGGAGCCGAGAGGTGATACCTTTACATTCAAAGACTTTCTCTATGTTAATTTGGTAATTTTTAAAAAATTGGCAACAACCTAACTACTCAACAGTAGGGGATGTAACCATAAAATCCTAAGCAGGGTATTTTAGGATAGCCATGAATCTATGCATACAAAGGATTTTAATAATTTGAAAAAAAATCATTGTATGCACATATTTTACACATGTGACATGCAAAAATCACATGTACATAGGATACAGTTACATAAGAGATAAGAAGAAAATAGACTGAAATAGAAATCTTTATGTAGTAAAAACTAGCTAAGAGATTTTGTTTTTGTTTCCCCCCTCCTATATTCTTACCAACTCAGAAAGGAAAATTTGCATTTATTTTAAGAAAAAATGCAAGTTGATTTCTTTTTTATAAAGAAAAATATATTGGGTTAAAAGTAGCGAATTAAAAGTAAACTTCAATTTAACTTCAAGATTTATTGTAATTTATTGTAAAATTAAAAAGTAAAATTTCTATGAATGCTAAATAGTTTCTCTAAAATGATAAAATTCTTAACTTATATACCTTGTATTTGAGATATTATGAGGTCCTAGCTGCCAGTCCAGAGATAACAGAGCCAGATTGAAAGTGAGACTGGAGCCTCATGTGGTTAGGAATATGCACAGTTTCATAGGGTTGTGATGTGTCCATAGCATTCTGGGCCTACATCCTACATCCTGGTACCCAGCCAGTGGAGGCACAGACCCTGGTGTAAAGCAATATCTCAATAAAGCAGCAGAAGAAATGAGGGTCTTTTGAATATGCCTCCTGCTGTCTGTTCAACTCCCAGCTTTCCCCAAGTGACAGCCAGTGTGACCATCTTCACACCTTCCTACATGGTGAGCTTGCAGGGAGGGCAGTTCGGGAGATGCTGGTTCAGCACCAGGTCAGCAAACCTCTCTGCCACCAAGCAGGCTGACAGGCCGTGGGACACCCTTGGGGTGAAGACCAAGACAAGACTGACAGTTTGGATCTTGGCCTTGACTCCTATTAGGCACAATCTCCTGGTCCCATTTTGCCTATCCTTAGAATTTGGAAATAATCCTATTTCCCAGACGCCTGTGGTTTGCGTAGCAATCGTTCTCATGGAGGTTCATGCCCCAGGGTCTTGGTCCCCAGCATGGTGTGCTGAGTTGGTGGTGAGGCTCAGCCTGCGCTGTGAATCACGCCAATAATCCCAGTGGCTTGGGAGGCTGAGGCAGGAGGATTGCAAGTTCAAAGCCAGCCTCAGCAAAAGCGAGGCAATAAACAACTCAGCGAGTCCCTGTCTCTAAATAAAACACAAAATAAGGCTGGGGGTGTGGCTCAGTGGTTGAGTGCCCTTAAATTCAATCCCTGGTATCAAAAAAAAAAAAAAAAAAGAGAGAGAGAGATGAGACTTAGTAATTAGGTCATGGGTACTCCACCCTCAGAAGGGATTAATGCTGTCTCACAGCAGTGGGTCAGGTCTGGTTGGAGTGGATTAATTCATGAGAGAGGAGCTTGTCACAAAAGGAACAAGCCTGGTCCCTCTCGGTCTTTTGCTTCCTGCCTCACCATGTGATCTCTTCTGCAATTGTGATGTCATCAGCAATAAGTCTTTCATCAGAGCTGAGCGGATATCAGTGCCATGGCTCTCAAATCTACAGAACTGCAAGCTAAATAAACCATTTTTCTTTATAAAGCACCTATTCTCTGGTATTCTGTTGTAGAACTATAGAACCAACTGAGACACTCGCTTTGGTGTACTGAATCAGAGAGAAAGAAATAACCCTTCTTTCAAAGGCTGAAATAGTATTGATTGCCAAATAGAAAAGAAATATATGGTTTTAGCTGATTAAGATGTTATTTTACTCCCACTTCTGGCCATCACTTGCACCAAAACAGCTATCTGTGGAGAACAACTAGGTAAGTTGCACTAGAAAATAGGAATAAAGGGTGAGATCAAAGAGACCAGGACTTGAAGGTTCAAGATTCTAAAAAGAAGGGAGCTCAGAGACCTTGTTTTCCTGTGCGTCTTTCCTCTTAGGGCGATTGGAATCCACAAGTGGCAGCTAGACTCTGAGAGGCTAAGCAGAGATTTCTATGAAGAATCGAGGACCAGGGAAAGTACAGGTCTATTGCTGAGCACCCTACCCATACAGTTGTGATCCCTTCAGGAACACAGGTAGGACTAAAAACACACAAGAAATAAACTAATCTTTGACATCTACTTAATTTCTGATTGATTTAAGGTGATCTGCCCCAAGTAGAATACATTGCTGGAGAAAAGCCAATCTTCCCTGGAGGAATGTGACATCGTCTAGCGTGCTGTCTGACAGGGCAACTCCTGGCCACATGGCTATTGGACACTTGGGATGTGGTTTTATAAGAACTGAAAAGTGCTGTGGGTGTAAAAATTTCAAGATTTAGAAAAAAAAGTATGTAAAGTAGTAATTTTATATTGGTTAGATGATCAAGTGGTTTTATATAGTTGGGGGGCAAGTACTAGGAATTCTACCACTGAGTTGTGTACCCCCCTGTTTTGTGACAGGGTCTGGCTAATTTGACCAGGCTGACCTTGAATTTGCTATCCTCCTGCCTCAGTCTTCCCAAATGTTGGGATTTCAGGCGTGCCCCATGGCATCCAGCTGCAAATAATATTTTGTACATACTAGGTTCAAGAAAGTATATTATTAAATTTTAATTTAACTATCTCTTTGAACTTATTTAATGAGGCTACTACAAAAATGACATTCATGGTACACATTACATTTCTGCCTTTCTCTATTTAACTATTCTGATCTAGAGCCCAGACTTACCTCTATGATTTTTATATTCAACCTCTCCTGTTTGATTAAAAGTTGCCAGACATACCGGAAAAGGAGACCAAATGAACAAGGACTCGATGGAAAATCAGGCAACAGGTAATAGAAGCAGACCCACAGAGCATCCACAAGTTAAGCTACAGGCTTAAAAAAAAAAAAAAAAAACTATAATCAACATATTCAAGAAAGTAGTTGACAAGAGAAAATTGAGGTGAAAATTAGAATCCACAAAAGGAATCACATAGAAATTATGATACTAAGAATACAATGCCTGAAATTGAGAACTAGATAGTTTTTTTTTCCTGGAGTCCTAAAAATATTTTATTTGTTGATTTTGGTGTTGGTTATAGATGTTCCACTTATATTTATTCTTTTTTAATTTTTTAATATTTTTTACTTGTTTAATTAGTTATACAAGATAGTAGAATGCATCTGACACATCATACATAGAGTATAACTTCTCATTCGTCTGCTGTACATGATGTAGAGTCACACAGGTTCTGTGGTCATACATACACATAGGGTCATAATGTCCAATTCATTCTACTATCCTTCCTACCCTCTTGCCCCCTCTGCTCCCTTCACTCCCCTATGTCTAGTTTATAGCATTTGTTTTACTAGTATAGCCTTACAAGCAGTTGTGTCTTAGATTCAATGAGAATAGTCATATGGTCATGAATGCCTTTCAGTTTAAATAGTTAGCTCATTTTGATCATCATTATAACCTTGTGATATTATACCTATATCCCCAATTTCACCTATGAAAAAAAAAAGTAAGACAGGTTAAATAAGCTTTTCAAATACCATAGAGTCAGGATCTAAGGACCCATCTGAATTCAGTCCTGAGAACTAGACAGTTTTGAAACAACTAAATAAAGAATTAGCAAACTAGAAATACAGTCCAGTTACTTGGCATTCCAGTAGGTCCTGTTGCTGGCCCTAACGATGACCAGTTTTGCAGTTGTTGGTCTGGCCCACGACTCCCTGACTATCCCTTCAGAGCTAGATGGACTCCCAGAGAGTCTGAGGGTGGATCAGTATTAGGTGTCCAAACCCTCAAAGGTCGTCATGACAAATTCAGAAGACAGGGTCAAACAGAGGATGGAGCCGTGTCCAGACCTTAGACAGGACCAGCCATACTGGCCAGGGATTTCTGGCCTTCCAACAGATTTGACCTCGGTGCTCCCTAGAATTCGGGAGCACTGCTGACCCAGGAGTCCTGTAGTCAGTACAAGGTTTCCTGCAGCTGTCTGGAACCTTCATGGGGGAACTTCAGGGGACATAGAAACCGCCTCTGGGTAGTTCGTGAGGAAGCCACAGATATGTTTACGTTGCCCTGTGATATGACGCAGACGCAGCAGAGGGAGCAGGACAGAATGGATTGGTCGTTGAGTCTGCACAAAACCCTCAGAAATACCTTTCTGCCTTTGTCTAACCCTCATCATAAAAAAAAAATAAAAGGACACAGCCTTTCCCAGAAAAGCAAGGTGAGAGGTAACTAGCGCAATCAATTTTTATGTACCAGAGGGTTGTTGTAAGTGCAGAACTAATAAACTCTCCCCACGGATCTAACAGGAAGAGGAACTGAGACTCCAGAAGAAGAGATTGGAGTTTAGATTCTAAAAAGGGCTTCGTGATAACCGAGGATGTTAGAATACAGGTTTCTGGAGCTCTTTAGGTAGAAGCTCCAAAAGGCCCATCATGAAGCCAAATGGATGAGTCTGCCTTTATCCAAATTGAGATGCGGGACTGGCAAAGGAGAGTCAGCAACGCTCTGCCAAGGCCCAGTTCGAGGCTACAGAAGGATTGTATTAGAAAAGGCAGAGAGCGTTAAAATAAAGGGATTCTCTGCGACGAGTGGGTGGACAAGGGTGATTACCAACCCTCCTTCCCTGGGGAAAAGACAGGGGTTGCTTCCTCCACTTCAAACCTGGTGAGAGGCACCTCAAAGGCAGCCTTTCCCATGGCCCTTGAAATCAGGTGGACCTGAGTCCATTCCAAGATTCAGCTCTGGATAAACCAGAGGGCTGCTGGCGGCTGCTCAGACAGAGGGTGGAGGAGAAGAGCTGCCTGGGGAATGGCTCCACTTGGAGCTCGTTGGAACAAATGAAGAGCGTTCCCTAAGGTCCAGATGTAGGTCACTGTGGAAGGAATCCTCTGCATAAAGCCACTACAATGGATTCTGTCCAAATGGGTCTCATAGAAAGACACTAAACCACCTCAAACCAGAGATGACAGAATCCTAGAGATGCAGGTGGGCTCCCAGAGGGCTCAGAAAGCATCCAGGGGAGGTGCCTCTACTGTGTCCATGTGTCTAGACCCCGTCCAAACCCCAGAAAACATGGGAGAAAGCGGAGGAGGCAGGCAGAGGAAGAAGAAAGGCATGGACTTGTTCCACCCGTGAGCTAAAGCAGGATGAGCCAGCTCTGGGAGAAGACTCAACTCTAAATAAGTTTTGTTTGGAATTTTGATGGTTGCCTAGACACACGTGATATCATGACCCCAACGAGGCTCTTTCACAACTCAAAGGGACATAAGACCTCTGTAATAATTCAAAAAAGTGACTAAAGATTGTTGTGGGACCTCTCCTAGACTTTACCCCAAATGGGTGGGGAAAGATTGGAATGGGGAGAAAGAATGACATTGTTCCATGCCTCCCACCCTGTGGACACTTTTAGACATGAAGATTATAAATGTTTATTTGTTAACTGGTCAAGAAGGAAAGAAGGAGGCTGGTGGTGGAGGAACGTTCAGAAACATCAGCAACACCTTCTGACCCTTTAGTTTTATCAGTGAAGAGATTGAGACCCAATAAGGAGTGGAACCACAGCAATAGCAGAGGGTGACAAGCATCTGGTCCCTAGTCCCTTCAGACGTCCCCAAACCACACCATCAGAGGGAAGATGGCCATGCATCTTGGAATCAGTGGACAGGGCCAATGACTTTCTCATGTAACGCTGTCTGTGTGACCCAGATTGTCTCATTCTCTTGATCACTAAAAATGTGAGTGTCCAGGTCCAGATAAGAAAAACCAACTCCTATTATTATGTGGTGACCATTTTTAATGACTGGCCACCATTTTTGAAGTGCTGACCCCACCAACCAAGAATCTCAAACCCAGAGTGACCGGGGTGAGAAGACGGACTTCAGCCGGGCTTATTCTTGATGCAATCCCTTGAGAGACCCTTGTGGATAATGTTGCAGCCCCAGGCATCCTGCATAGTACTCCAGCCGCCACCAGAAGGGCTGCACCCAATACCTGGGGTGCCCAGGAAGATACGCAGGCGCCAGCTCAGAAGCGCCACATGGCAGGGAGCTGGGCTTCCAGCAGGCAGAAGAGGAGGTAAGCTCTCTCCGCAGTGTCCTGCTGTGTTTGGAAACCCCATCCAAGAGGCAGCGTATGGATCTGTGTATGGATCTGCTGTCGCGTAATGAAATGGTAATGGGAGGCAGTCCGGAACTCCTCTTTACGCAGCCACCAACGGATGCCATCCGCAAGGAGGGCAGCTGCTCCTCCAATCTGCCCTGCATTTTCAAGTCAACACTCTCTTTGGAGACCAAGGACACCCCCAGCCACACCCAGGAGCTCTCCTTGCCTTAGAGAACCATCTGCACTTAGATGACCTCCCTGCACCCTCCAGGCCAGTGTGCCTGGATTGCTGAGAAGCCGTCCAGGGTGAACAGGAGAGAGCCTCACAAGAAGGACAGCTCCGGGCACAGGCAGGGAGCCATCTTGGAGAGCAGTTGTCCCCGTGCCCAGTTCTGAGAACTGCACACTCTCCCTCTCTTTGTTAAGATAATCATAAACACAGAGACACAACAACAGCAACCACAAAATCCAAATAACGATAAGCTCCAAAAAGAGCAGGATGGGATTGTTGTCTTTTCCAGATACCTGTTCACCACGGCGGATGTCCTGTGCCAATGCTGAGCCACCTCCAATACACGCCATATGCCTGTTTCTTTACTTAGCGTTGTTTGGGATGGGAATCCTTCAGAGGATGGAAGGTCCCCAAATATTTGGCAAGCCACCCAAGGACACCAGCAGAATGTGCACAGGGATGGTGTGTCCCTGAACACACACTCCCACACACACATGCACGCACACACACACACACACACACACACACACACACACACACACCTCTCTTTCCCGGGCTGTTTGTAACTCTGCTCATGAGTTGTTTTTGCTAAGTATAGTAACCAAATTAAAATAAGCCCAGTGCTAGGAAAGCAGATCAAATTAAGACTGACTTGTTCATCCTTTTGGTGAAATCACCCAGCTGAGAGTTTGGCCAAGACACACGTGCACCCCAGGTACACAGACACTCACTCGGAATCCGCTCGGGGTCCTGACTGGCCCAGAAGGGAGTTGGGAGAGACAACAGTCATGAGCTGTACCCCCCAAGATGAAAACCCCATCCCCTTTCTGGGGGGATTGTCTCAGTGTGTCATGTGTCTTTGGACATGCGTGGATGCCACGTCCCCCGGCATTAAGTGGTGAGAACCACAGCCAGAACAAACTCAAGCCAGCAGGTAATCGATGGTGTTTTATCATCTTGGGACTTTCCATTATGCCGGCTGTCAGCAGGGGATGTGCTCGGCTGCCACTGGCCAACTGGCCCTGGTGTGTGGGAGACTCTCCTTAGCAAATGCCTTCTGTGATATCCTGGAGGGACTGCCCTGACTGGTGGGTTGGTGGACTCTGGCTGGGACCCAGGAAATGGTCCTCTTTGATTTTTATTTTATTTTTTTTTCCCCAGGAAATCAGGAAACTGGAAACATGGCAAGAACCTCTCAAGGGTAATCGTATTTTTCCTGACTGGTATCTTAAGCTTGTCAAGTTCTTAGCCAGAGCCTTCCAAGGCGAGTTTGGAGGAAGCATATGGTGTTCGCCCGGTCCATATGACTGGCTGAGCGTCGACCACTACTGTTGATACAATATCTCACTTTTTCCTCAATATTATGACAGCATTTGTCAATGAAAATTAAATTACTGTCAAACTTATCCTGCTAACTTACGGCACAACCATCAGAGAAAGCCAGCGCCGTGCCTTAAGCCAATGGGACCTTGTCGTTATGCTCCACCAAGAGGCAGGAGAGAAAGACATAGGGACTTCAGTGCCAGTAGGGATGGCCTGCCAAGCTAGTGCCAGGAGGCAATAGAAGGTACCTTCCTGCAGCCCAAGCTACGGGGAAGGGAGTGTGCCTGGGCAGGGGCAGGGGAAGTGTCACGTTGGCCACAGACTTAGGACCCGCAATCCTTTATAAGACAAATAGCACCACACGTTGCAAGTACATGCTGGTTAAAAGGAGGGAGGAAAAGATTGCATCTTAAAAATCAGAGATCTTTGGGCTATGTTTAAAATCTATTGTAGACATACTGGAGCAATCATATGGGAACATTTTAAAAAGCTAGGCGACATCAAAAACTAATTTCACTTTTTTCTATACTTTGGAACAAGCTCAGTTCTCATTCATTCTGGTAGCCAGGACTGAAGACTTGGAGGTTGAATTTTCCCACTAAGGAAGTGGATGCACTTTGAAATTGTGAAAGTTCCAAAAATTTCCACATTAAAATTGAGTGGTTTCCACCTTAGGCACCTTACAGGAAAGCGCTTGAGAGCAAAAGGGTGGCTGGTGGGATACTGGCAGGAACATCGAGGCCCATGTAGGAATTTATAAACTTGTGGGCTCCTTCCTGCCCGACTCCTACCTTTCAACTCCCCTTCCCCAGGAATCCAATGGTCCATGTCATCTGAAGAAGAGGCCTTGGAACGGAGAAGAACTGATCAGGTCAGTTTGGGTTTTTGACTTTTTAATTTATTTCTCTGCATCTTTCAAGAGCAAAATATATCACTGACCTCAGCATTCAGTGACTTCAGCAAAATCAAACTAACTGTCACGATTAGTATTAAAACTTCTTGGCAGAGGAAGAGACAGATTAGGCCTGAGCAGGACTTCTGGTATTTATGGAACCCTTTCTTTGCATTTCTTCACGTCAGAAGACTCTACAGTAACGCCTATGGCTCATCTAGAAACAGAAAACGCATCTCCACACGTAGTAGCACATCACTTTCCTCTTTAAGATCACACTGAGCAATTAAAAACAAACCAACAGCAACAAAAAAGACAGCTTTCAATAAACTATTATTCATCATTTAATAGTTTCGAATGGGACCCATTCTGTCCTCTGCAAAAAAACAAAAACAAAAACAAAAACAAAACAAAACTTTACCTTGCTTCCCCTCTAAGAGAAGAGCTCTCTAAATGCCATGTTCATGGGCTCTGGCACCTGGGAGACAGTATCCCTCTGCACCCTCCTCACCCCCATTGTTTGGAGCGGTTGCCTGAGGAGTTATGTTTAAAAGACTGAAAAGCAAAGAGTAGCACCAGTCTTGGCAATGAGTCCCCAGCTAACGAGTGAGTCCTCAGTGGTTCAGAAAATGCAATGGGTTCTCCCTTGACCCTTGAGTAGAATCACCCCCACGTTAAACCTTGAGCGCTCCTCTAGGTATGTTCAAGCAGAAGCAAAGGATGTTTCATCATTAGGAATAAACACGTTGCCTTCTAAGACACTTGGGTTGGAACGGGAAAGGAAGTGGCCTGAGGAGCAGAGCCTAAGCCTCCCATACCCCCTTCCTGGTGGCCCCAGAGAAGCACCCTTGGAAAGGTCTCATCACTCAGGGACAGCTGTGACAGTGAAAACAAGTCCCTCTTTTCTTATTAAATAAAGCTGTCATATACATATATATATATGATATATATGATATATCATACATGATATATTATATATGATATATCATACATGATATATTATATATGATATATCATACTTGATATATTATACATGAATGTAATATATGTATTCACCTTTATTTTGTGTATATAAATATCCACCTTTATTTTACACACACACACACACACACACACACACACATAATGCTACTGCAAATTTCTCCTTTATGGCTGGATCCAAATGTCTGTGAACTGCTTTACCCAGCAAAGTAAAGGAAAAAAATCAAGGAGCAGTAGTCTCTCCACTCGTCAAAGCCCTAGCCCTCTGCTAGAGACAGGTCCATGGATCCTGACTGGGAGAGCCAGGTCTGGAGACCCAGCCAGCCTCTGGCTGCGGGATCTCAGCGCAGCCCTGGTGAACTCCCGGCGCCAGCAGTCAGATTTCCATCCCAAAACTGTTCTCCCCAACACAAAGAGGGGCAGCCTGGCATGGTAACAAAAGCCAGTGTGGGTGGCAAGGTGACTGCACATTTCAGCTTGAATGCTCCGGTGTGGGGCTTGCACCTGATCACCAGATGCTTCAAGCAGATGGCCAGGGAGGGGAGAGTCGGCTCCTGGTTGCTTCTGAGGGGCTACGGGAGAACCAATCCAGAGAGCCGGTCGGGAGTGCCCGGCTGCCCGGCCCAGCCTCCGCTCCAGGAGCCCTTGCAGGATGGAGCCCTGAGCCTCCAGTTCCGGGGAGCCTTCCAAGTACCCACAAGCCAGCCTCGAGTGAGGCGTTCAAACAAGGAGCGAGCTCAGCCAGCAGCCATCCTTTTGTCCACTGCATGTTTTCAGGGTTTCTTCTCTGGATGGTCTTCTGGAACAGGCCAGACTGCATCTGTTCTCTGATCCAGAAGGTCTCAATAAATGTGATTCATTTGCAAATTAATTTTTCAGCAAGTGACTGGGTGAGCAATAAAAAAGGAGCCTCCCTGTGGTGCCCAGAGCAGACTCACCTGCAGCCTTGGGTGGCTGCTTTCACTGACCTTGGCCCTGTGAGTGGTGCGTCCGGACAGGGACCTATCCTGGAAGGTGGGAGCAGCCCCCAAGATAGAGGGGAAATGGGATGGAGGCAGAAAGGATGGAGGCTTTGCCAAGGGGGGCTTCCTGGAGAACAGAGGATTTTTCAAGCTTCCCTCTCAGCAGAAGCTGCTGGCAAGGTCTGCAGGCCAGGGCTGAAAGGGGGGCTCAGCCTGCTCTTGTTCCTGCCCAGGGTCTCCTTTCTCTTCCAGGAAATCCATGTTCGTGCATGCCCAGGCACACACAGCCATGCAAATGCAGGAACATGTGCACACAGGCAGGTACACACACACGCACACACACACACACACACACACGCACAGAGGACACCTCATTAAGAACACAGGCTTTGGCTGTTTTATTTATTGACGTATTCCCCCTCCCCCACCCTAACTCAGAAAATGTGGGAGACATACAAGGTGCTCAGTAAATATTGCTGAATGAATAAATGAATGAGTGAAGACTGGGTGACGCCCTCTTTCAACCTCCAGCACCTGTCCAGCCCAGCGGGGGTAGCAGCTAAGGCCCCTGGTGCTCTCCGGGCCCAGGGAGCCTCTAACCTATCGCTGCCTCAACAGATGATCTTGTAAAGAGAATGAGACCTTCTGCCCCTCCAACAGTGGCGGCTTCCCAAGTTCACACTTCCTCAAAGTTAGGCCTGAGCCGGCCCAATGTCTGGGCCCAGTGTCCCTCCTGCAGAAGCAGGAAAACAGAGCCCGCCCCTATGGTTTTGATGGCTGAGCAGGAGCCATTCTGCCTGTGTCCCTGAGAACTCCTGGGCAGGAGGGCCCTCGTTCTCCTCGTTCTAACCCTTCTTCCTGCCAGGTAAGGGCTGGGTGCCCTGGTGGATGCAGGACACAGGAGTTCCAGGTGAGCAGACAGAAATCCCAGCCTGTTCTGGGCCATGAGCCAGACCAGACCAATGCTTATGAGAGCTAGGACAGGTCACACTCCCTTTCCCTGAGACCATTCACCAGCTCTGCAAGCTTGAGCGAGTCACCTGACCTCGATGACTTTGCCTCCTCGTTGATAACCTGGAGATAAGGAGGACGCCCACTTCATGGGACGGCTGGGAGGATTTGAAAGGCAACTGCGGTCCACTGCACAGCCCAGACTGTGGCACTCGGCATTTGGTGACAATCCTTCACAGCCCCTCTTCCCCATACCCTCCGCGTGCCAGACAAAGTCTAAGTGCCATCCATAGTATCTGCAGAGGGCCTAGTCCCCTCTGTCTCTAACGACGACCCCTCCCTCCCATAGGCATGAGCATCCAGCAGGTGCTTACGAAGTGACCCCTAAAAGGACTGGGACGAGGAGGCCTGTAGTGTGACATTCTCCATCTGCCTGGGCACAGGTGGGTGCCTTTCTGTGTCCGCATGGTGTTCAGAGAATAGGGAGTGGAAGGGGCGAGCAGGGGGCCTCCAAGGTCCTTGGGGCAGTGGCAGGGCTGCGTGGGCCAGCACTGCAGCAGGAGGCTGTGACTGGTGGCAGACCCTCCGGCCCCAGGCTCTCCTACAAAGGCAAGGATTAGCCCTGCCGCCCTGGCCAGCGGCCAGCTCAGATCATTTCATTTGGCCTACTTAGCGATCCCCCAGGGGTGCTGGGAAGGGGATGATTCATCACTGTCTGGGGCACCCTCATGCAGCGAGGCTTCTACCCAAGAGGGGGCCGCGTCCCCGTCCGTCCGTGTGACATGACAGCCGCGGGCCCCAGGCCCTCCCCACAGGAAGCCAAAGCAGGCAGGGGTGACAGTGGTCCCGGGATGAGGCGCGATGGGTGTTCAGGAAATCAGCAGCGAGTTGGGAACCAGCCGCCCCTCCAGGCTGAGCGACTGGATTGGAACCGCCCAGCCCCGGGCAAGCTGTAGGTGGGTCTTGTTGATGTGGAGCCCTGTCACAATCACCGTGTGGGGTCAGGGCCCTGCAGAGGGGTAGTGCTCCCCCACAGTCACCCCTTCTCATGGGTCTCCTGTCAATCTCAGTCCACCTCTACAATCAGATGGATGCTGAGGGGAAAGTAAAGCAGGAAAACTCCTCATCTCTGCCTGTGGCAGCGCAGCACCTCACAGAATCTGAGAACCCCAGAGGCTGTACCATCCAGAACACAGTTCAGAGAGCTGAAGCCACCTTCCCAAAGTCACACAGCCCAATGGAGGCAGGGCTGAAATCCTGTTCTCTTGTCTTCTGAGAAAGAGCTTTGACAGTTTCACCCCGGGGGACAACAAAATCTGTCTCAGAGACAGACTGGTGAGTGGAGGCTGTGGGGAGTTGGACCCTGGAGTGGCTTAGGGGGAACATCCTCAGGCAGGAGCTCTACCAAGATGAAAGCAGGAGCCGAACCTCCACTGGGCTGGGGCCTGAGCCCTGGACATGTTAGTGCCACTCTGAATAAGCCTGCCTCCTTTGCCACATTTCAAGAATTCGGCGAATTCTTAAAATATCCACAGCCCCAAGGGGGTGGGGACTGGAGCTGAGGCTTCCCCCACTTCGGGGACGGAGCTGGCCGAGGTGGGCGGCCACCAGGGCGGCAGCGGGTTGACGCTGACGGACTGGCTGGCCGGGGTCCCCAGCCTGGCGCGGTCACCATTACTGCACATCCGCTCAGCATTACCTCCCCTTCTGCACTAGTAATTAAGAAACACCTGGGTTTCTGCGTCAGGCTGCGCGTTGGCGGAGAGCGCCCCCTCCCACCGTGGAGGGGACCCTAGTCCTCCCCTCCAGGCCCTGGTGTGGCGCCCGGGTCTCCTCCCAGGGTCTCCCACGGTGGGGGTCGAGGCCGGGGACTCCAAGGCTGCACCCACCCCCTTCAAGATGGCCGAAGCCCCCCCAGAACTTGGAGGCCGATCGGGCTCCTCGAGGTGCGTGGTTGCCAGCGCTCTCGCCCATGCCAGCTTTCTCACAAACGAACAGCTTGTATCCCCATGAAAATCAATGGATGGAACAAATTGTATTAAATTATGTAAAATGATACTAAAGAGCACATTCTACCAGTGAATAGGAAAAAGAAATCACACCCCCCACCCCCACCCCCAGAAAATCTTATTTTAATAAATCTGGCAAAAAATTATAGAAGACAATTAGGAAGAGGTGCGGGGGGGGGGGAGTGCGGAACCATGCTTAAATTTTTATGACACTTAAAGATACATCTCCTGGCCCATCAGCAGAGAGACTCGGGGATTTATCCCCTCGTAGGTCAGACGCGCGTAATTCTTTTGTGTGTCTGACACCTGTGAGTTATTTATCGCCCCTGCACTCTAGCCAGAGACATCTCCTGCCCGGCTCCCTTCCGTGGCGACAGACTGGACCGGGCAGCAGAAAACGAGCGCACATTTTTTTTTTTTTTTTTTTGGAACCAGATTTCCTTCGCTTTTACATGGATTATTATTATTTTTTTCTTGGTAAATAACTGTAATCAGCATTGAACTTGCAATATAACCTCTCGCCTATATGAGGGGGAAAAAATCATTTAAAAATATTTTAGCCATTTCCATCCCTCCAAGTCCCTAGTGCAGCTGCCATTAACAAAAGAAAAACAAAACAAGACAAGAACATCCTGAGACATGAGGTCTAATAGGTTGGGAGGCCTTCCTCAGCCTGAAAAAAACTCCAGCTCCAACCCCAAGCCCCCCAAAGGGCTGTGCCAACCACCAGGGCAAGTCTGATGCCCACCTGTAAGGCACAAGACAATCAGAACAGGAGGATATGCTGGTCTAGGTATTGTTTCTGCTCAGAATCTATTTGAGCAAACTTAGGGGTGGGGCTGAGGGGTGGGGCTCCCTGAATGAGGTACATCGAGGAAGGGACAATTTTGAATCTTGATTCCTTCACATCTTAGCTGAATGATCTTGAACAAAGTTTTAAGCCTAGTTCCAACTCTTTCCTTATCTGCAAAGTGGGTACATTCATGCTAATTCTGCCCCATGTTTATGAAGATTAAAATGATTCAAATAATATCAAATTTCTAGCACAATTTCTGTCACCAAGAAAGCATGTCATAAATGGTTGCTTCTAATGTTGTTACTGTTTGTAATAATAATTATCACTTTTCCTGTTTTAGTCAGCTGTTTTGCTACTGTGACTAAAAGACCCAAGTAAAACAAGTTTAGAGGACGAAAAGTTTATTTGGGTATTCATGGTTTGAAACAGGTGGCTCCATTCCTCAGGGCTCTTGGGAAGCAAAATATCATGGTGGGAGAGTATGGCAGAGGGAAATGGCTCACATGACAGTCAAGAAGCAGAGAGAAAATCTCCACTCACCAGATACAAAATATATATTCCAAAAGGATGCTCCCCATGTCCACCTCCTCCAGCCACACCATACCCATACCTTCAGTTCCCACTCTGTTAATCTCATCAGGGAATTCACTGATTTGATTAAGGCTCTCATAACCCAATCATTTCTCCTCTAAAACTTCTTGCATTGTCTCAAACCTAAGCTTCTGGGGGATACCTCACATCCAAACTATAATACCGACTGTAACAGATAATAGGGATAACTGTCCCTTTAGATCCTATTTGGAAAAGTGTTATCACTTGGGAAGTCCAAACAGGCGATTTGTAAAATCAAATGTTTGTTAAGCATCCATTGGTCAAGTGAATGACAATTCCCTTGACTGGTGAGTGACCTCAGAGTGGAGCCTGGTGGCCATGTTCCTGTAGTGTGGTGGGCAGAGCTCACCCACGCTCAGTCACCTGTGCTCACCTGGGGGCCCACCCTGAGTTCTGTCCTCATTCTGAGCCCTGACTCTGGATCCCTGGGCCTACTGCTTTCCTGGCCTGCAGAGGACAGAGCCAGATGCCTGAGCTCCTATCAGTTTGCTCTTTCGCAGGCCCACGAGTCTATATTTTAACAATGCTAAGACTCACTAGCATTTTAAACATTGAAGGAATAATGCGTCTTATGATAGATATAGTGTTTTTAAGTTTCCCCCCCAATTTGAGAGTGCCTGAAAATCAACAGTGATAATAAAAATGCTGCCACCGAGGCCAGCAAAGTGTACGCTGAGGGCCTCCTCAGCACTGGAGGATCATCCGGGGCCTTGGTCCAGCTCCCTAGGGGAGCACGTGACCAGGGAGGTGTGTGAAGAAGCCTGAGGTTCAGGGCAGGCCCTGCATTTGGGGAGCAGGCGCTGGTACTCTGACTGGAAAGAACAGGCTCCAAGCTGCCATAGATGCTCCTGCCTGAGAAGGCAGGTGGGCATGGCTGGGAAGGCAGACAGGCATGGCTGGGAAGGCAGGTGGGCATGGCTGGGAAGCCAGGCGGGAGTGGAAGGGCACTAATTCTGAGAGCCAAGCAGGGCCACATGGGCAAATGGCCAAACTGGGGCACCCTCTTCTGACTGCTGTATCATCTGAGGGCTCCCACAACATGCCTACACCCCAGAGTACAGCATGCCCCACGGTGCTCCCCAGTCAGGTCATTTACTGGGGAGGCCAGAGAGGTCACCCCAAGTGTTGCTATGGTTTGTACATGCACTGTCCTTCACACATCCCGACTAGGTCCCCGTTGTGGCAGTGTTGAGTCAGGAGAAGCCTTAACAGGAATGCCCAGCGAAAGGGAACGAGTATCCCATCCTAGGGAGTGAATTGGGGCTGCCAGGTCTGCCAGAGTTCTTGAGGGAGCAGGCTATTACCAAGCCAGGCTGTCCCATGTGCTCAGACTCTTCCGCATGCAGCCGTTTCCCCTTGTGATTCGCCCTCAGATTGTGACACAGCCAGGGGTCCTTTCCCAGGATGCTGGTGCCCTACTCCATGGCTCCTCCAGCCACAAGACTCATGAGCTAAATAAACCTCTCTGTAAGTTACCCCGCCTTGGGTGTTTTGAGTAGCAGCACAACCCAAACCAATACAATAATCTTGTCCACACGGCTCACTCTAAAGCTCTTTTCCATTAAGGCACACGGCCTCTTGCACTATGAAACATGGGACTCTGTGGAGTTAATTGTTCATTCATTCATTCATTCATTCTTTCAATATGCATTGAATTCTCACTGATACCAGGTACTAGTTCAAGTTCTGGATGTCCATTGTCCAAAAAACAGACAATACCCTAGCCCTGGCAGAGGATCACGAATGTTTAATTGCAAATGGTGATAAAGGTCCTAGAGACAAACTAAGCAGAAGGGAGAGCTAGGGTGGGAGTGGCCCAAACTTTAAATGGGAGTGGGGCACTCAGGGAAGGACTCACTGAGATGTCACAGTTCAGCAAAGACTGCAGGTGTGTTGATAATATTGCAAATGGCAGAGGGTGCAGTTAAGCAAAGGCCGACAAGACGGGAGCCAGGCAGCCTTCACATAAAGAAACCAGTGTGGGGCTGGGATTGTGGCTCAGCGGTGGAGCGCTCGCCTAGCACAGGCACGACCCAGGTTCGATTCTCAGCACCACATTAAAAAATAAATAAATAAATAAAGACATTGTATTGTGTCCATCTACAAAAAAGGAAAAAAAAAACGATTTTCTCTCTCTCTCTCTCTCTCTCTCTGTCTCTCTCTGTCTCTCTCTGTCTCTCTCT